TGCCTGAACAGTTCAGTTGTACTAGTTTTTATAAAATTTGGTATAAACTACCGTATTTTTCTTGTTTACATGAATATGGTATTTTCATTTGTCGTGATGTGTAAAAATAATAATAAATAATCAAATTCACAATATATTTTTCATTTTATAATGTCACCTCCACTGGCCGTAAAGGTTCCCAAAAAGTCCTTGAAAAGGTCCACGGACCACCAGTTGATAATCACAGTTGTAGCTTGTTTTGTGGCTCTGGACGCATGTTATTAGTCAGCCAAATAGCATAAATGGCTCTTTTGATCATAAAGGTTGCAGACCCCTGGTGTAGGATGTTCCTTAAATGTATGTTTTAATAATGTAAATTAAACTAAATGTTAGTACTTGAAAAATAAAAAAAGAAATAAGCCTTTATAAAAACTTCAGTTAAATCCAAAACTCAAGGCACCCTCAGTGTTTACAAACAAACTGTCCAATATCTGTGTTTGTTTCTTTAGGGGGCGCTGGTCACAGCCTGTGCAGACGACACGCTACACTTGTGGAACCTACGCCAGAGGCGACCGGCTGTCCTGCACTCGCTCAAATTCAACAGAGAGAGGTAGGAAGACCAGTTTGAGCTCGATAAACAACAGCGYGCACACACGGCCGTCCACTCACAAAGAGTGCAGACAAACTCCACGCTTTGCTGCAGTGAAAGGTGAATCTGACTGTCAGTGTGCATCAGTGGACTCAGTTTTAAGGCTGTCACAGGTGTGACTTCCCCTCACCCTCTGAGTTCAGCTCCCTTTCATCCTGCGTGATAAATCTGACCYCGTCCTCTCTTTTACCCGCCCTGTTGCTCTGCTGCCCTCTGCTTATTCATCATGTTTCATCTGTTGTYCACCAGTCTCGTTTCTGTGGTTCATAGAAGCATTTTTGCCTCTGACTCAGTGAGATACCTAACCTTTCCTTTATTTGTTGTTAGAAGTTACAGCATCCCAAATATCTGTTTGAACCTAAGCCCTGTTTTGCTGGTTTCCCACAAAATGCCTTTTGCTTGGAGAGCTCATAACAACATGTTACCTGAGTTGTTGCCTTGTTCACAATGGTGCATGACTTCACTTTAATTGATTAGAAGCTAAAGGTGCAACTTTTCTGAACATAGTTGTAATGAAAGAAACGTCTTTTTTTTACTAGTGCCGTTTGGCAGACTAAGCAGTGTGTTGTCCTCCCACATGGGGCAAAGTTCTGCCTTGAAGTTTGTTTTTTTATTTTTATTTTCATTTTATTTTTGTTTTGTTTTCTGTATTTGCTGCCTCCTYAGAATCCCACAAGTAACAAAAAAGGAGTGGCTCTGCTTCACCCCCAACCTACAAAACAATGATGCCAAAAAATGTGACCACTACAGAATTTGAAGTGATTAGCCACTGGATCTCCAAAGCCTATTTGGGAAAGTAAAGTCAGCTTGACAGTAGCTCAATTCCTCCAATCTGAGCCTCCCATTAACTCCAAAGCAAACATTGTATGTCATATCTCTCTCTCATTCTCTGGATAAATAAGTAAATCTTAACTTTTTTTATTTTTTCCTACACACAAAACTACTTCCAAGACATGTATTTTTACTGTGAATTGTGAATAAAACAAAAACAAACAAAAAATAAAACAACGTTTTCTGGTAAAACTGACACCAGTGTAGTTGTCATGGAACTGGAGCCGACAGTCAAAGCTAATGATGCTTAAAAAGCAGATCTAATGATGTGATGATGTTATAACTTTGTTTATAATAATAGTAAATGTATTCATATAGCTCATTTCAAAACACAGTTACAAAGGGCTTTCCATCAGATTACATAAAATGCGTGGCACAAATAAAAATGTAATTTAAAACGTAAATAATCAGCAGTTAAAAGCCAGTGCATTCCATGAAAGATGAGCCTGAAACGAAAAAAGCTCTGTCTTCAGTTTTGATTTGAAAGTAGCAACTGATCAGATGATTTCTGACCCCTAATTTACACTAAACACGGTTTCGCTCTGGTCCGGTCCGACAGGAAATACGCAACCATTATAATCAATAAGAGTATTTACAGTGGCTCAGCACAGCGGCCGTCAGCGGACGGCGATCCACCAAAATTAGATTCAATCCTATTTTTGCTGCTCCGGAGTCAGTTTACAACGATCACGTCGCACCAACAGGAAAAGGAACGAGCACAACATCCGTATTTTCAAAATAATTCACAAAAGGCAAACTTCATTTTGTTGAAATACTAGCTATATTAATACATATATGGATATATTTATACACAAATACTCTCAAAATTTATCGTTCTGTTTGGGAAGCAGATGGTAACGTAGCGTGCAGAATATGAATACACATATGATGGACTTTATTTTGAAATCAGAAGTTCCAAAAAGACAACAGCGATGCAGTTTCAACTGTGTTTGGAGTCCGTCTTCCACAGAATTAATTATTTTACTCTGACTTCCACATTTATTATCTGATTTATCACGTAATCTCACATTTGTGCTTTGCACTGGAGTGAATGCTGTATAAATTGGGGTGCAAACAAACAGCAGCGAACTGCGCAACAGAGCAGAGTGGAATCGCATCTAGTGTAAATTAGGGGTGAGGTTGCAGTGGTGCAAGTCCATTCATTGATTTAAAAACTAACAATACAATCTTTAAAACAACTTACATTGGAGTCTGTTCATTTTACCCTACTACAGAGTGTTACTTTTTGCCGCTAAAATAATTGCATTCAATGATCATTTTCAATAAATACCACAACTTTTTGTGATTTTTTTTTGTCTCACGAGAAGATACTGCACAGTTATAAATACGTGACACGCTGAAGCTACCTACACTAAAACTGAGGTAAATGCTTTCACCCGTGCTTTTCAACCAAAGTGTTAAAAAAAACCTCGATCCATACCTGTCTCTGGTGTTACAAAAGCAGGAGGCAGAGCCACTTGCTCACAGCRGAGGAGAGGTGAATCACGCTCCAAGACAAAAGGGGAGGGAAAAAAAAGACTACTGTGAGTCACCCATCAGATGTTGAGCAGTGCCTATCTATTTAGCTCCATGTCCCTGGTACACCTCTGACAATTAGCATCCTAATGTCTCACCAGGATCCCCAAAAAAATAACGACGCAGAAACTGTTTTGTGACAACTGTCAGCCAGGAGCTTCTGTCAGCCACTCTCCCCCCGACTGCCATGTCGTCAAAAAGAATCAGACAAAACTCTTTTACAACACATGACACATTGAATGGTTTCCATTGTGTTCAGCACAATAACARGAGGCATTTGAGCTAATGTAGTCATCATGAAGGGACATGTGTGTTGTTTAATGATACAGTAAGTCACTGCGGATTTCTGTTGGCGCTTGTCACGAGTCACACAGAGCAGATGGCAAGGTTGGCAATTCTCTGGTTGATGTTACCAACTGAGTTAATCTCTACATCTGTTTTTCTCYGTTAAAGTTCTTTTTGTAGCCTCAGCTGGTCCCACAGAGCTAAATCAAATGAAAGACAAACTCTAGTTTCTGGGCTGCTAATTATAACGCCTGATGACAGTGGCTTGTCCTGTGAGTCAAAGCTTCATTTTGATCCTTTGACAAAAAGTGCAGATTAGTGCCCATTAAGGTTTTCCTCCCGTTTTATCTCAGTTTGTTGTGGTGATTAAAATGTTGCCTTCATTTTTTTTTTCATCAGTTCCCTCAATATTTGTCACGTGGTACAGTAAAAGTAATGAACAGAAGTTACACACTGCGGGGGTGGAAATAGACCATAATGCACTGCAGCCTGAGCTGAMACAGAYGGGTAATCAGGGCTAATGCTAACATCCATCAGCTCATTATTGAGATTTTCAGACTTGTTGAAATTGCTTTTATTTATCTAGAAGCCTTTTAGTATAAAGTAGCTCATCTCCCCGTTCATCAAAGCTGCAAGTTTTATCAGTTATAAGTAAAACTGGAACTGAAAGGATATTTAAAAAATGATCAGGATTAAGTATTAAACATTTTAAATAAATGCTGTAACTAAAATGTAAAGTCAGCTGCATTTCAAATGTTATTTGTTTGGATCTTGTCTTATGTTTTGCACATATACTGCACCTCTAAAAACATTTGATCTTGTTCCAAACCAAAATTAATTTTCACCAAAATGTCTGAATGAAGCACAATGCATAAAGAAACTAAGCTGATTGCATGGGTTGCATGTAATTTGCAGGGGGGTTGGGGGGTATGTTCMCCCCAAAATAATTTGATCCAGTTAATATAACTCCCACCCCAATAAAATGACATCAATTACTCTAACACAACAAAAATTAGTAGTCAGATGCAACTCTCTTATTGTCTTTAAGCTGGTTTCAAAATTTACTGTCATATTTGTACGTTTGAACAAAACTGCTGAAAACAACATGCAGGTTTTAGTCTGCTGTCACATTAAGGCTGGATTTGTTGAATCGTGTTATTTTTTTCTAGCCAAATGGTAGTACACCAAGTAAACACATACTCTTTGAAAATGAATTGAATTTAGGTATGCCGTATAATACATCCTAAAAATGTAAAATATTTGATACTGTTGGACAAAATGGGGGAAAAGGTAAGTCTTTTCTTAATTAAAAAGAAAAAAATTGTGTAGGTCTTCTGGACGGGTTCTTCTCTAATGAAACGTTTCATCTCTCCTCCAAGAGACTTCTTCAGTCTGAGAGTTTCAGGCAAAATTCAGGCTTTTAAGCCCTGCCTCCATGTGACTGATACTCACATCACATGGCTATCGTTGACGCCTAATTAACACTTATTGTTAACAGGGGGTGGATTGATACTGGCAATAGCCGCGCTGTAGGAGGGGGACAACTGAAAATGGAGGCCTCCACCTCTGTTTAAGGTGGAGATTATAGGCAGAAACATGGGTGTGCCATGGGATCCCCAGTTTCTCCTATTGTTGCAAACCTGTACATGGAGGAAGTGGAAAAAAGAGCCTTGATGTCTTTTTCAGGGGTGCCACCGAGCCATTGGTTCAGATATGTTGACGACACCTGGGTTAAAATTAAAGCCCAGGAAGTCCAACATTTCACTGATCACATCAACTCTGTGGATGAATATATTAAGTTCACACGAGAGGATGTAAAAAATGGCAGGTTGGCGTTCCTGGATTGCGATGTCTCGGTTTCGGATGGAGGACGGTTGGAAACTGGCGTATATCGTAAGCCCACCCACACAGACCAATATTTGTGTTTTGACTCCCACCACCCACTGGAACACAAGTTAGGAGTGATCAGGACTCTGTACCACAGAGCAGACAGTGTCCCTACAAACCCAGGAGCCAGGCAGAAAGAGAAATCACACACACAACAGGCCCTGGAGCAGTGTGGTTATCCTGACTGGGCTTTCCTGAAAGCAGACAGGAAACACAGACAGGATTCCATGCAACCTTCAGGTGAAAATGAAGACCCCAAACCCAGACCCAAACCAGTGGTTATTCCGTATGTTGCGGGTGTTTCGGAGAAACTGAGACGTTTATTTTCTAAACATGATGTCCCAGTGGCTTTCAAACCCCAAAACACATTAAGGCAAAGGCTGGTTCACCCCAAAGATCCGGTGCCCCGGCACAAACAGAGCAATGTTGTATATGCTGTTAAGTGCCAGGAGGACTGCGACCAGTTATACATCGGGGAAACAAAGCAACCATTGTTCAAAAGAATGTCCCAACACAGACGAGCTACATCTAATGGCCAGAACTCTGCAGTTTACACTCATTTACAGGCCAGCGGTCACTCTTTCAGAGATGAGGATGTTCTCATTCTTGATAGAGAGGAACGTTGGTTTGAGAGAGGAGTAAAAGAAGCCATTTTTGTGAAGAAAGACCGTCCATCATTAAACAGAGGTGCCGGCCTCCGTTTTCAGTTGTCCCCCTCCTACAGTGCGGCTATTGCCAGTATCACTCCACCCCCTGTTAACAATAAGTGTTAATTAGGTGTCAACGATAGCCATGTGATGTGAGTATCAGTCACATGGAGGCAGTGCTTAAAAGCCTGAATTTTGCCTGAAACTTTCAGACTGAAGAAGTCTCTTGGAGGAGAGACGAAACGTTTCATTAGAGAAGAACCCGTCCAGAAGACCTATACAATTTTTTTCTTTTTGATTTTTTACCTGGATTACTGAGATGCATCAGGACATCTTTTCTTAATTGTTGAACTGACATGGGACAGAAAAGCTGCATAGTAAATACAAAGAAAACAGGAAAGCTAAGTAAATCACAGTAAAAGCATTACAATGCATTTTGACCCCAAAATATCCTGAATCATTTTACAAAAGTAAATGATTCAATAAAAAATAAAAAAGGCAGAGAGCACCCTAATAGTTGACCTATGACGCCCTTGACTGATTGTAACACTTTTTTGATCAATTCATCAAAAACACAAAGTTTCTGATGAATGGATTTCTCTCTGATGCTTACTGAAAATATGTATCCCCCATTACTTTGTAAAAGTAGCACTAAATACAATTTAAAAGTTAAATATAAAGTTTATGTTTGAATTTGCAACAAGTACTTTGTAAAAAAAAACAGAACCCAAATCTCTGTTACTCCCCTCCTCCACACCCAACACCCACCAGTTTGGATATTGTCATCTCCTCAAGCCCCTAAAATCCCGTTTGAATCGTCTGCCGTCTCATTTGTCTTCTATCTAATAATCCTGCTGCTCGCAGGGTGAGTGGCTGCTGGGCTGAAGCCCAGCAATTCCACCCCCTCCAACTCCGAGCTAATCAGCACAGACAGGAGTGACTTACTGTGTGCTGATCTTTATTACACAGTAAAGATGATACAAGCAAATGGCAGACAAATAATTGGCGAAGAAGTTGGCATGACATCAATATTGTTTAATGTGCCATATTAATAAACAATAAATGCAACAGAAGTTTATGTCTGAGTTTCTGCATCACATGTTGTCGATGAATGTCTGTGAATAAAAGTGCTTTTCAGGCCTCACGTACAAGTTCAAAATCATTTTATTGTCAAATAGTYTTATTCCAGAGGACCCTTAGATTTATGCATTTTAATTGACTGTGATGTCTATATCATTAACTGCATAATAAAAATGAATACAAAGAAAAAAAATTGTATTTTGCTTATATCAAATAACTTGCCATAAAACAGAAAATGTGACATTAATAGGGAAGTTTATGATTTTCTGTAATGTTACAGTTTTTAAGTTATAACTTTAGACAGAGGAGCAGAGGGCGTGTTTGAAATGAAAGACAGTGGTATTTTATGTTTCTGTTGACAGACTAGTGTGAGATGGAAAAAAAAACACACAGGAACAATTCAAGCTTTCATCACATAGTGAGAGACCCACAATGCTCTATTTGTTGTGGCTTAGATCAAGTTTACAGGCAGCGTGTGATGGAACTGAAATAAGAGAGAGGGCAGGAGGTGCAAAGGTGGCCAGTGAGATACTGTATATATA